GTATTTTAAATATTTTTCAAATAATATTGTAACAATATATCAGGAGTCTTGCATTTAATTTTTACACTTTTTGGCCCAACAGATAAAACTTTAGTGATATTTATAGAAAAAAAAAAACTAAAAAAATTGAAAACTGAAAATGTCCGTAAACAGCTCAAAAAGAGTCAAAATATTTTCAAAATTGTATGGTTTATAGAAAATGGTAATATAAATATTCAGTGAGATTTTCATGTATCTACAGTTATTCGTTTTTGAATTACAACAAAATAAGGAAATCGCTACGTGAGAAATCGAGTGAATATCCAATGTTGTAAAAATTTGAATTTCAAACTCTCATAAAAATTTAATTTGACGTTCTTCAAGACATTTTTTCTTTTGATAAAGGTAGACAAACTTATAAATGATCTTGTATTACATTTTCAAATTTTAGATTCTAAAAGAAAAATTTTTATGAATTATTAATTAAAAATAATAATTTTTCCATATTTTGCCAATTTTTGAACTTTAAATGCTTACAAAAAAAAACTGTGACTAAGGATTTTTAATATTTTTCAAATGGCATTGTAACAATATAGAAGGAGCCTTTTATTAAATTTTCAAGTATTTTTACTCAACAAATGAAGTTTTATTGACATTCATAGAAAAAAAACTAATAAAATGGGAAACTGAAAATGTCCCTAAACAGTTCAAAACATATCAAAATATTTTGAAAATGTTATTTTGTATAGAAAATGCTAATATAAACACTAAGTCAAAATTTCATGTACCCTACGGTCATTTGTTTAAGAGTTGCACCAAAAACCAAAATCGATTTTTTGGAAAACCGATTTTGCGTAAAAATTCCTGTTTTTCCTTAATTTTTATGTTGTTTTTCCCGGCGCTTGTGAAAAGTACTAGGAAATTTTTACTTTTGACCCCCTAAAGTACCAACTAGATTCACTTTCCTATCAGAAAAGCTACTGTTGAAGAAAATCCAAGCACTTTTACTGTCCTAAAACGTGATGACAGACACAAAAAAAATAAAAAAAAACACACATCATTGTAAAATCAATACATTCATCGTTCCACTGAGAATCTAAAATAATTAACCTATAAGGGCAATAATACTTATATATACATATATACGACAAGTCTGAAGTCGACAAGAAAGTGTATAACTTATAAGGTGGTATACCTATACCCAAGGCCGTATCCAGATATTTTTTCGAGAGTGGGGTCCCCAAGATGTTTATTGTAATTTTATAGAATTTAGGTTTTGATATTTGGTTAAAAATAAGACATAATGAAGAGATTTCAGGTGTCCAGACCCCTTGGACCCCCCTCTGAGATACGTCTTGCCTATACTTATATATACATGAGTCATTATGTATTGTATTTAGTATTTATAATATAAGGAGAAGGTATTCTAAAGAATAGTGAATACTGAATACGTTTATAGCAAACGAAAAATAAAATACTAAATACTAATATAGTTTGGTTCAGCAGCTAAAAAACGACTTGTAAAAGAAAGTCGAGGATGTATGGGTGTGAGTAAAATAATATATATATATATATATATAAATATTATAAACCTAGGATTAAAATGTGTGATTACTGAATAGTGATTATATAGTTGCCAATTGGTACCTTAGATCATATACTATGGATGGAGCCACAGCGTCCGATACATAGCGACGAGACACCGAATTAGGTGATCGATGGGCGCAAGCGCAATGCAACTCCTCGCATAATTATCCATAGGAACAATAGTCAGTGTTCGGACTTATCTAGATAATTATTTGTTCATCTTTTATTTTATCTAGATAAATAGTTACAAGGTATCTCAACGTTCATCTTAGATAATTTTTTTACTAATCTAAATAAATTCATCTGGATACATTTTTATTGATAAAAATCGAGGAAATTGTAGAAAATTTTTAAATATTTATATAGATTCTCAAACAAAGTTTATGGCTTATAAATAATATAATAATTTTTATTTATATCATTATTATAATTATGTTCCTAGTGCCCAACTAAAATATACCAACAATTTAAAACCATTTAAAAAATAATTGTATCTTTTTTTTATCTAGATAAAAAATGATTTATCTTTATCTTTATCTAGATAAATATGAGTTAAGTTATCTTTTATATCTATCTAGATACATTTGGGTTGTACTATCTTCATCTTTATCTAGATAAAAAATACTTATCTAATCCGAATACTGACAATAGGTATCTGTGAATAAATATGCTAGAAGTCACGTTGCGCATGCGCATATCGACCACCTAATTGGCGACTTGTCGCTGATATCTGCAACGTTTTGTAGTGAATTAGTGATGTAATACTCTGTAGCTCCATCCACGGTATATGATCTAAGGTTGGTACCTACGACCATAGGCGCACATAGGGTGTGAATTTAGGGGGTGCTGGGATAATTTATGGTTCACAGATCCGTGGGGGGCTTTGCCCCCCACACCCCCCTAATCCTAATATTTCTGCATTGCATTAGATTTAATTTGTATAGTGTATACAATAATTTCTAAAGTGCAATGTATCAAATAGTCTGTATGATTGTAAAGAAGACGCTAGGTACACCCACATGTGTTGTCTCCGTATTACAGACGTAGGTACAACATAGGCAAAACTGTTTTGCACGGGTATAAAAAACATTCAGTCTCTACTCTAAGCTAAGAAACTAAATGTTCACACTATAAAAATGAGAAAACTTACTCTGTAACTTTGTTTTTATATTTCCGATATCAAAACGAAAATAAAAGTTATTTAAGTTTGATAAACAAAAAAAGGTGCTCTGCTGTACATTAGGGTACAAGTAGGTCACTGTATAATTGATGGTATTAAATTTGAATTCAATGATATACTAACATCATTGTATAAGAACAACGATTCTGAGTGAAGACGGTTAGTCAGCCTATGATATTACTAAGTATATTTGATGATACTAAGGTGAATAAAGCAATTTATATATAACCTATTTACGTAGAATCTTGTTTTAAATTTTCAATCATTAGCTATAAAAGTTGAACATTTTATAATTTTTCAAACTATAAAATTATTATTAAATTTTAAAAATGATAAATTTTGTCAAAATTTGAATTTTAAATAATTATAAAAAAAAATTGTGCCTATGTATTTTTAATATTTTTCAAGTGTTATTGAAACAATATATCAGGAGCTTTGCATTAAATTTTCAAGCTTTTTTACCATAAAAATATAATTTTATTGATATGAAGAGAAAAAAAAATTAAAAAAATTGAAAACTGAAAATGTCCGTAAATCGCTCAAAAAGAATCAAAATATTTTGAAAACTATATGGTGTATAGGAAATGCTAATATAAAAATTTAGTAAAATTTTCAAGTATCTACAGTCATTCGTTTTTTAATTACAACAAAATTAGAAAATCGTTACATGAAAAATCGAGTGAATATCAAATGTTGTAAAAATATGAATTTCAAACGTTCATAAAAATTTAATTTGAGATTCTTGTAGACATTTTTTTTTTGATAAAGAAAGACAAACTTATGAGGAATCTTGCATTACATTTTCATATCTTAGATTTAAAAAGAAAATTTTTTATGAATTTCTAACACGAAATACTTTGCAAATTTTCGTCATTTTCACGTATTTTATCAATATTTGGAATTTAAATGCTTATAACAAAAAACTGTGAGTAAGGATTTTTAATATTTTTCATCTGTCTTTGAAACAATATATTAGGAGCCTTCTATTAAATGTTTAAGCTTTTATACCCAACAAATAAAATTTTATTGATACTTATAGAAAAAAAAACTAAAAATGTCCGCAAATAGCTCAAAATAACTCAAAATATTTAGAAAATTTTATCATGTATAGAAAATGGAAATATAAATAACCAGTGAAAATTTCATATATCTACGGTCATTTGTTTTAAAGTTACACTAAAAACCAAAATCAATTTTCTCGAAAACAGATTTTGCGTAAAAATTCCCGTTTTTCCTTAATTTTTCTTTTGTTTTTCACGGCGCTTTTGAAAACTACTGTGAAATTTTTGCTTTTGACCCCCGCAAAGTACCAACTAGATTCACTTTCCTATCAGAAAAGATACTGTTGAAGAAAATCCAAGCACTTTTACTGTCCTAAAAGATGATGACAGACAAAAAAAAAAAAAATATGAATTCGTGAATTCGTAAACAGTTGTCAATATTTGTAATGAAAAGAAAAATTCCGAACCAATAAACCACGATAGCTTATAAATGATTGGTGAAATACTGAAATAAACTGAGGGTGCTAGTTTGAAGCTTGGGGGTGCTAAGCACCCCCAAGCACTCCCCTATGTGCGCCTATGCCTACGACGTTATCTTCATCACATGCGTGTTTTATCTATGGCAGTCACGATTTAACATAATATAGTATTTATCTTAAATCGTGATGGCGGTAAATGTAGATATAATATTTTTCTACTTTATAGTTTACATTATGAATTATGATAATATTATATTCACATAAATTATAATGTGTATGATACTATATAATATATCAAGAATTATGTAAACAAAAAATCTAAGGATAGGTAACCCTTTATTTCCGTATAAGCACAATGTAATATTAATATAGCACACAATAGGTCTAAATGTCTAAATATGACCCCGTTACGATTACACCTGTCTACTGAATATGACATATGTTACTGTTTTATTTTAACATTAGGTAATAGGTATAAATGTATAATATTACATAGGTAGTATTTTAGTGTTATCTAACACCGTAAAGAATGAAAATAACGTGTTATGGTTATGGTTTTAAGACTATTATATTTACCTAATTCTCCACGTTTAGCTTGTAGATAGTGTATTTCAGTGTTAATAAAATAAATAATAACGATCCGTAACTCGTAAGCATAATTTTATTTATTTATTTATTTATTTATTTATATTTACGGGTCTAGCCCTTTTGAAAAACAAGTTTGATCTATACAGATTTACAACTAATAAGATATACATAGGTATGGTATAAGCATTAACAGAGGCGGGAGGCGTCAGCATTGGCAAGAGACATAATTCTTGTGATAGGTTCGTTCGCTAAATAATTGGAGGTGTAAGAAGGAACGTAGAAAGGAGCATTATTTCGAGAATTACGTTGAGGTACTCTAAAATTAATTAGGCTTAATAGGTAAGGCGAATCTATGTTACCTGATATCAATCCATTTAGAAACTTAAACCCTAGAGTAATTCTCCGATTAGAAAGGGTGTCAATATTGAGGAATTCGGAAACAGGGACGTAATCATGAGGCTGATGATGTATATTTAGAATAAACCCAGCAAAACTAAGGAATTTTCTTTGTACCATTTCAAGTTGTCGAGAGTGGCCTGCAGTTTGTGGATTCCAAAGAACAGCACCATACTCTAAAATTGGACGGACAAGTGAACAAAAAAGAATTTTTAAAGATAGTCCTAGCTTAAAGTCGTGAGCCAATCTCTTTAAGAACCCAAGCATTTTGTAAGCTTTACAGCATATCATAGTGATATGCGGTCCCGGATCAAGAGAACTGTTGAACTTAAAACCTAAGTCAACTATCATTTCAACACGGGAGATTACCGAATTATTTAGACTGTAGGACCAATTAATTACAACATGTTTTCTAGTGAATGACATAATATGACACTTATCAAGATTCAAAGTTAAGCCTAGTTCTTGTGACCATTTGTAAAAATTGTTTAAATCAGCTTGAAGTATAAGGCAATCATCAGGAGAATTTATTTGCATAATTAGCTTCATATCATCAGCAAAACAAAGTAGTTTACAATGATTTAAAACTCTGTTAGCACTATTTACAAATAAAGAAAAGAGAATTGGGGAAAGATGACCACCTTGCGGAACCCCTGAAGAAGCTTTCAATACCTTAGAAGTAGTACCAAATACTTTTACTACAAAATATCTATCAGAGAGATAAGAAGAGAACCAAGTTATGAGAGGTTCACCAAATCCTGAATCTCTAAGCACACGGATTAATAGTTCATGATTCACTGAATCAAATGCCTTTTTAAAGTCAGTATAAATGACATCAACCTGACTATGGTTTTTAAAGGCATCATAAACCAATGAGGTAAAAACAAGATTACATGTAAGTGTAGAACGACCTGGGCGGAAACCATGTTGCTCTTCCATCAAAATTCCATTAACCTTTGGTTGAATGTATTTTAAAGTTAGAGATTCAAATAGTTTTGAGATATGTGACTGTATTGAAATCGGTCTATAATTCAAAGCACAAGATAAATTACCTGATTTCGGTATCGGTGTAACATTACTCAACTTCAATATTGAGGGAAAAATACCTTCATCCAGTGAACGCCGAAAAAGAGAGAATAGTGGAAATGCAATGATTGACCTTATTTGATATAAAAATTCACCACAAATTCCATCAGGACCCACTGACCAATTACCTTTGAGAGCTGACAGACCATTAAGAACATCATCCAAAGAAAAATAAACATTATTGGGCAAGTCAAATTTTGAAATATTTGGTAGATCGTTTGTAGTATTAATATTATTCGTTGTGTACACCGAAGAAAACATATCAGCAAACATATCAGCAATTTCAGTTTTATTAGACGAAACATAACCATTGTGAGAAATTTCCATAGGCATACCATTACTTGCACGATTTTTTTTAACATATTTCCAAAAGTCACTAGGGTTATTTGTTAATGAAGATTCTACATGTTTGTTATATTCATTAAAACACTTTTTGGACATATATTTGAAACGAGCACGTAGCAACGAAAAATTATTATAGTTTTGACCATTAGGATTAGATTTATACTCAACATGTGCTTTTTTAAGCCATAAAATTGAGAAATGCTAGAGGTACCTTCCCAATTGCATAGAAAATAAATGAAATGCAAAATGTAGATCAACAGTTTACAATAATACACATCATATTATTTACCTATATTTCCGAATGCCGGGGAATAATAAAATTGTGGTGGTACAGGCGGTACAGAGCACAATGATATACCAACGAAATTAAAAGTGGTTTGAAAATTCGTTATTATTGCTTATTTAAATTTGATAAACCAATTATTTATATATTTTAATTTAATTTATGTAAAAACATTTAAAAATAATATATATAAATACTAATCAAAATAGTTGCGATTTGAAGATTATCATTTAAATTTCAGATGTAAACATTAATAGTTAGGTAGGTATCACTTACAACATAAAAACATTAAGATAATTGGGTAAGGTGTATTGGTTGAACTGTTTCAGACCTAAAACCAAAAATATTGGATGAAATTAAATTATATTTAAATATCTCTTTTATAAATATGTACTAGTAAATAGTTTTTGATTTTTTAATTTTAATGTTTGTATAAATTTGAAGATTTATTTCAATATATTCAAAAAAATTAAATTTTTGATTAAAAAATCGAAATACAATCCGATATACAGGCACTGTAGAACATTGGGTGAATTCAAATTTTAAAATAGGTTTTCTCTTAAATATTTAGTCAAATTATTGTACCCAGTGGCGTACGTAAGAATTTTCAAAGGGGGGGGGGGCTTGAAAATTAATTACAATTTTATTTTATTTTGTCCAGTCTAATAATTGCAGACGTTTAACTGTTTAATCGAGGTATTTGAAAATATTTGTATACAGCTTAAACTTCTCAACTTTTCTAGTAGAAAAAATTCTCTGATCATAACCTCAATGGAGATTTTTGGGAGCAAATTGAATCTATTTCGTACTTTTGGTAGGTCAAAATTGAAAATTCTTAATATTTTTTAAAATTATCAGGAAAAACGAATATAAATGAAAATTTGTTAAAATTATTTGGTACTCTTGGTTGACCAACTTCGCTTGGATTGCATTTGATTAATCTTAGTTTTCTTCTAAAAATATCAATAATTAATTATTTGTTCGGTCAAAAAGCTTAACATTTAATACAAGGTTGATCATAATTTTAGATTCTGAGTGGAAGATGAATGTATTTGTTTTTACAATGATGTGTGTTTTTTTTTTAATTTGTGTCTGTGTACACGATAAATAGTCGAAATAATGCATCAATTTTCAACTTCAGTATCTTGTTCAATTGGAAAGTGAATATCGTTGGTGCATTGGGGAGATCAAAATTTAAAATTCGCAGTAATTTTTAAAAGCGCCAAGAAAAACAAAAGAAAAATTAAGGAAAAACGGGAATTTTTAATCAAATTCGAATTTGGTTTTTGGTGTAACTTTAAAACAAATTACTATAGATACATGAATTTTTCACTGGTTGCTTATGTTTGAATTTTATATACACGATAACATTTTCAAAATATTTTGATTTATTTTGAACTGTTTAGACATTTTCATTTTCATTTTCTATTTTTTTTTAGTTTTTTTTTTAAATATATCAATAAAATTTTATTTGTTGGTTAAAAAGCTTGAAAATTTAATAGAAGGCTCCTAGTATATTGTTTCAAAGGTAGATGAAAAATATTAAAAATCCTTAGTCACAGTCTTTTTTTATAAGCATTTAAAGTTCAAAAATTGACAAAATATGGAAAAATCACGAAAATTAGTAAATTATTTTGACTTAAAATTTTTTCCTTTTAAATCTTAGATTTTAAAATGTAATACAAGATTCCTTATAAGATTATCTAGGTACCTTTATCAAAAAAAAAATGTCTATAAGAAAGTCAAATTCAATTTTTATAAGCGTTTGAAATTCAAATTTTTACAACATTGGATATTCACTCGATTTTTTGTGTAGCGATTTCCTTCTTTGGTTGTAATTCAAAAACGAATAACTGTAGATTCCTACATGACAATTTCACTGAATGTTTATATTAGCATTTCCTATACACCATACAATTTTGAAAATATTTTGACTCTTTGAGCTGTTTACGGACATTTTCAGTTTTCAATTTTTTTCCTATAAATATCACTAAAGTTTTATCTGTTGGGCCAAAAAGTGTAAAAATGTAATACAAATCTCCTGATATCTATATTGTTACAATATCAGTTGAAAAATATTAAAAATACATACTCACAATTTTTTTTTATAAGCATTTAAAGATCGAATTTTGACAACATTCATCAAATTTATAATTGAATAATTATTTTGTAGTTACAAAAGTAGTACAGAAGGATAGTTTATTTTTATAGTCCTTTTGAGTTCAAATTTGGACGAAATTACATAATAAAAAACCTAGAATAACTATTTTAGTTATTTTTTTGTGGTTGTATAATATTATTCATGGGTACTTGAAACTTCTAAAGTACACTATTATATGTCTATGATAGTATCAGGATTTGTTGTTGATGTATAACGCATTATAAGTATCTAATGGATATTGTGATATGGTTAATTTGGAATTTATTATACGTACCTATTATAGGTCAATTTTTTTTAATACCATAGATAAGTACCTATATAATATGTCTTATACCAGTTATACCTAGACTGACATACCGTCTCTGCTGAGAATCGTTTTTCTTATACAATGATATATTGATATTATATCATTGAATTCAAATTTAATACCATCCATTATACAGTGACCCACTTGTAACCTACTGTACAGCAGAGCACCTTTTTTATTATGATTTAAGATTTTTTTTTATAATTTAAAAATATTAACGATACGTATAGGTATAAGCACGATTATTTTTTATAAGCATTTTAAGTTCAAATTATATAAAATATTACATTTGTATAGCTAAGGTTGACAACTGAATACAAGGTCTTTCATACTAAATACTAAATAGACAGTTAGGTATAGTTCATACTTTTACTAAAAAAAATACTGATGATTTTAGGAAATTTGGTATGCAAATACAATGTATTTGCAAAAATGAATTCATTCTGGTAAGATGTATATGAATTTACCTTTACGTTTTCTTTACTAGTTGACAACAGGTGATACTTAATAAATATTTTAAAAAAAAGTAATACCTAAAATAAGAGCAATGGGGGAGGTGCTTCAGCCTATTAGCTACCCCATGCGTGCGCCACTGATTTTACCTAAAAAAAGAACAATTCACTATTACTATATACATAGCATAGTAGTATCTACATCTGATGAAGCGATGATAAAGCTTGAAAGTTCAGATGACTGATATTTGGTGGTCGGCTGTAAATGCTGCATACTATTGTTTATATGTATACTAAGTGGATGTGGCCATGTGACAGACGAAATAGGGGAAAGTCGATCTTATGCAGACGTGACAATAAATTTAAATCTGTTTTCATAGCTCATGTCAATACATCAGTACTCTAAATCAGTCAGTTGTAACTCGCAAGTACAACAAATCTAAATTCGCTTAGAGAGAAAAAAAAACATATACGGCAGCGTAATCTAGCAGTGAAAATATGCAGATAGTGGGTGGTTTTTGTGTGTGAGTATTTTGTTGTCCTTCGAATCAGCAATATTGTATTTCTTGCCAGCTCGCAATTGTATCCACGTATAGAATATAAATCGATTTTTTTTTTGTTTTAATTTTCATCGACCACCTGCCACGTTGTACACAGTGTAGTGAACTATAAAAAATAAAATAAATAGGGTGTCCAGTAGTTTATAGCCTATATCAGAAATCTCCAACCTTTTTTTTATGGCGGGCCGAATCTAAAGACTAAAATAATATGATTCCTTCTAAATGATTTATTAAAAAAAATATGTAAGCAATTAAAATTTGGACATAATTAGATAATTAAACGAAGGATAAAGATTAGTTTTTTTGTTCTTATTTAAAAATATTATTAGTTGGTACTTGAAACTTTTAAATTTTAATATGTAGGTACCTAGTTATATCAGTATAATAGTATATTACTATATTTAATAGGTTTATAATCAATGACATCTTAAAATGTAATATTTTTGGCAACAATTAATTTAACCCACCTACTTTATTACTAATAGTATTAAATTACTTTAATAGCAAAATAAATAATATATTTACTTTTTAGTAATAAAGGTTGACCGCTTTTGCTCAAAATTGTTTTGTATGCAATGATTTAACATATACATCATAGCGATAAATGTTGACACCTACAAGGCTACAACTGTAGAGCAGAGCAGTTAACTTTCTCCATTTTTTTCTTTAAAAAGTTAACAATAACTGAATTTTACAACTCAGTCTTTACATTGTCAGCTGATCATTATTAACAACCCTGAAAACCTGAAAACCTAACCCTGAATGAGAATATTTACTTCAATTTCCAATTTAGTTCTTTGGTGCAAATCGTAAGTACCTAATTCTTCATACTGTTTAAATTGTTTAAAGGGTATTTTTGTGAGGCTGTGAATTGTGGCACTTCAATATATAAATATATATATTTACTCAATCAATTGACATTATATCTAGTCACTGTAATCTGAACAAACATTATTTGTGGAATTTGGAATATTTGTAATTGTAATTTGTACTTATAGAGAAAATTGTCTAATAAGGAAGAACATTTTATTATTTTTATTATAGATTCCGTGGTACCTACTTCCTTGGTAGCATACATCATTTTTAATGTTATCACTCTACTTGTTTGTAAAGTTTGAAAAATCAAATCAGCAGTTTGTCCAGTCTATACATTATTTTCTAAACGGCCTACCATAAATATGGTTTTCTGGATTACAGTTTGCATCGTACATTTAAATTTTAAGACCTTCCAATTAACTGAACAATAGAATCTGGATTTAGGTAAAAGAATAACATAAATATAAGAATACAGTTAGGAACCTCCTACCTACTTATATTAAATTATACATTATGTTAAGTTTGTATAATTGTATGTCTTTACATTCTTTATTTTTTAAAGTATTTTGGTACATATTAAAAACAACAATGATCTAGAACTGTTGAGGTAATATAGAAAATTGTTATTTATATATTAAAGTAACTAAAGTAGTATCTAAACATTTTTGCATGGAAGAAGTGCTGTATGTAAGCATTTACATACTACCTAACCAATTAGATTTTAAATTTAATGCAGATCACGGTCTTAGAGTCTTCTAAGACTGTGATGCAGATAGTACTTTAGACAAGTCAATCAAAATTTCATAATTGTTATTTGACGAATTATGACATTTTTGCTAGGTACATGAATCGTTTTTTGTTTTAATTTAAAAATTATAACATTGAACATTTCAAATTCTAATATGGAAATTAAAAATTAAATTAACGACAATATTTCTATTTTAATATTTATTTTTATTATTGCCCAATGTCTATTATTATATATTACTAATATTTATCAAACAAACAAGTATAACACAAAATCATTAATGTTTGAAAAATACATAATATATTAAGTAGTGATGGGCAACGATTTAATTTTGTGTAACGATATCGGTCTGATTTTTCCAATATTGTAAGATATACAATATCAATATTGTATCAAAAATATACATTTTAAATATTACCTACTTAGTACTTATTAGTTATTAAAATTAATAATTAATATAAATAAATAAATATATTGAATTAATAATTATTAATTAAAAAATTTACTGTATCCAACTAATTTAAGATGGTAAGAAAAAAAAACTAGTTCCCAATGTATAAAATAATATCAATATTGTTGCCCATCACTAATATTAAGTAAATAATAATAATAATAATAATAAAAACATATTAGTAAATAATATAATAATATATACATGACAGTAATCAGTTACATGCATAAAAGTTCCTCAACTCTGTTACATTAATTGTAACTTGTAATGATTAATCTATTTACACTCTAAATAATAACATAATAATTTTGAAGTAACATTAAAATGTAGATCATTATAATTTGTATTGTACCTTTTTATAAAAGATACTTAATATACATATACCGAGTTATATTTAAATTGTATTTGTGTTAAGTGTTTAATAATTTTGGAGGTAGGTTGATAACCAGCAAGTACCATGTTATAAAACATTAAAACAATATAATATAATAACAAACATTCAATAATATTTTTTAGGCAATGTATTTGAAAACAACTACCCGGATTCATAGTGTATAAAAACCTTGCCACACATACACTTGTTTACAACCATACCAACCGTTCCAACATTGCCGTATCAACCCTACCACCCTTACAGACTAATGACTTCAGTTGCTGAAGCCTAAATCCAATAAAAAAAAAAAATAAGTAATGGATCCGATGAAAGAATTTGAATATTTTTACTAAAATACTGCTAAATGTGTACATCAAATCTTGAATAAATTATTAGTTTTAGTATGAATGTTGTAATAAGTAATGTTTTATATTAAATTTTTTTATAGATTGTTTTATTGTATAATTAATATATGATTATTTGTTTGTAACGTATGATTTATAATGTAACTTATAACCGGTTACTCTGAATAAATGTAACTCATAGATGGATACCTAAAATAGAGTTACTTGTAACTACTTGTATTCACTTACATTATGCACTATATAAACTTGTATAAGGCGACTATAAATAAATAATACTAAGTTCAGTAGTGGCGTGAACAATTTTTATTTATGCGACAATCATATGTTTTCAACACACCTACTCCTGAAATACTGATATTGAAATATAGTTACACTCAAAACTCATTCAGTGACAACTGACAACTGCCCAATGTATATAAAGGCATCACCCACCAACCAATTTTTTTGTCAGGGACACTTGTTCAAAAAATTTACAGTCGTGCTGCAACTATATTAAGCTAGTATCTGATACCTAAGTACTAAAATAGATAAATATTTTTTACATTCTCCATCAAATTTTAATATTAATTAGACATTTTAGGCATCATGTAATAGAGTTGGTTTTTGTCTGATACTTATGCATAATATGTTTTGTATTATCTTTAAGATATTGGGCTAATATATCCAAATTCTAAAGTAGTAATTAAAACATAGGATTTAAATTAATACTAGTAAAACCTTAATGGTATTTACTTAAATGTTTAAGAAAAAAGTACAAAAATATTTTTATTACATTTTTGTTATCCTGGATGGATAATTTATCCTCAAATTTTTTTAAAACTGTTATGAATTATATTATATTATTATTATTATATTGGTTGTATTTTTTTTAAAGACCTACTAAAAATATTCAAATTTATTTTGTATACACTGTTCTTAAAAGTAATAGATTATTTTATGAGATTTATATTTTCAGATTAAAAAAATAACATGACATTTTATATTATTGATTACATAGGATATTAATTAAACTGTTATAAACCTGTACATAATAATTCTTAATTAAATAACACTAACTAAATTTACTAGCTTTAAAAACTATTATTATTTGTTTAATAATAGGTATATACAATAGAATAAAAAATAACACTGTAGATAGATAATACCAATGCAATAATTTATTTATTAATTTTAATTTGTATTTGATTCATTAGTGGCACATTTTGGCAGGAGGTGGGAAATAAGTATCTACTAGTCTCCTTCAGCCATGTGCCACTAGTGAATTAATTCCAAATTAAAATAATGAGCGAAATGATTGAATTGGTATTGCCTATCTAAAGTGTTATTTAGTGTATGACAATAAGTATAAGTTTAACATAAAACTAAAAACATAGTTCAATTAATCAACGGTAAAACCCTTTTTTCTTGGTAAATATAAAAAATTGGTAAGAATGACCAACATCTTGTGGTTTTAGCAGAAGTATATAATATTATAATTATTTATGCTTAAAAATATTGTATAAAACACTATTTTAGTGATTCAATGATTTATGAACTATACAGTTTTTTTTATTTATTTGTTTAAACAAATCTTAGACGGACAAAAGATAATATTTTTTAATGTCAACAAAATTACATTTTATTTATAATTGTGTTGACACTTAACATTGAAGTATTTGCAAATCACATTTAAATTCTTGCATTTATTAATGTACATACCATAATATACAATATACAAGGTCAAATTAAGGTATTAAAGGTTTAAGGTTAGGTTAACCAAAAAGTAGTTTGGTTCATTATGGTGAAAATTAGGTGTTTTAGAATGGATGAATAAATTACATAATTCAAGTACCTACAAAGATAAATTTCCATTATAAAATGTACAACCTATAGTAATGTAATTTCTTACAGTTAGTAAAATATTGGTCATTCAGATGTATTAAAATAATAATAACTTAAAAATTAAATCATTTATTCAAATTGAATACTGTAAATAAACAGATTTATATTGAATACATTTCAGTCGAAACATAAGTTCTTAGAACAAAATTATAATTATTTACCTATCTATGTAATAACAATAACAAAATTTTTTTGAAACAAAGTTATAAGACATTTTAAGTTGTATCTTATGATTAAAATTGACCGATAGGAAAAATTGTTGAAAAAAAAATGTATAATCAAGTCTGTTTAAATTGGTCACATTATGATTTGCATGGTAAAAGTCTTACTCACCAAAAATGTATTGTTGTGCAAATATCAATAATAAATTAAATAACATATTTAATCAGTACCAAAATATTTTTGACCAAAATGGTTGGGCGCGATGTGATAAAGTTCTGATGTTAGTATAGTCATCTAAGCATAAAAGTTATACAAATAATTTAATAAATGCTGATAATCTAAGATTTATAAGGATTATTAAGAAATAAAACAAACCAATGGGAATGCTGTGGTAATAGTTTGAGCAGCAATAGGTGTAGTGAATAAGTTTGATAGAATTATATTGTCTTCAGCCACTCGATGTTCCTTTAACACATTCACTGCTTTAATAACAGTATTTCCAGTACCTAAAAATAATGTATTATAATGTGTGTTGTCTGGGTAATATGTCATCAATGCATTACTTACTCATTATTGGATACATTAATAAAACTTTCCTATCAGCTATATCATGAGGAAATTTAGCATAAACTACACGAGCTTCATGAGTATCTGAATCTGACTCTACTAATATTTTACCAATACGTATCGATCGACAACAGTCTCGCAGACCCTAAACAATCAAACAATGATAAAAATACCAATAGGTTTCTGTAAGTATTAATAAATTCTTACTTGCTCCATAGCCTCTCCACTACGCACAATACTGACACCGCAGTTACCTCTTTGATATTTGGTACCTTTGTAGTAATTACCGGTAGGCGTCATAACCATACAAGTATCAAATGGTAACTGGTTTAAGCTTTCTTCAATGACAAGACGAATTAGACGATCAGCATAAAATTTGAAATCCGTTCGACTTGTGTTTCTGTGGACCGTACGAACGCTTAGTTCCATAAATGCATTCGTATCGGTACCACAAACTTACTTGTCTCTAAGTATGGTCTGCAGTTCCCGGACCTGATCATTGGACCGCAACAGCTTTAATTTAGGACCAAACTCGCAGGATGGACTAGTAGAATTTACTTTCTCACATTGAGCCGACATGGTTAGTAAAAAACTGATCACTAAATGCAAACTTGGTAGAGGAATTAAAATGCTGTAACGTTTTCAAAGTGAGCTAATATTGTATAAAAAAAAATAATAAATTGATGATTCTATACCGTGTACTTAATAATTAATACGTTTACCGATTACCTACGAAGTTTTTGTGTAATAACTAATAATACTAAATAAAAATTAATATACTCTATTACTATAATAGTTTTTAAATAATTGATTGTCTTGCCTCTGATACATAACCTACAAACGGCATATATCTATGTTGTTACTAGAGGATGATACTGCTAACGAAATGAGCGCCAAATTTTAAAAATGTGATATTATCAACCAATGTTCTCTTGCACTTATACTACCTATATAATTTATCATCAAGTTATTACTTACTTGTGTCTTATAATGTTATAAGTTATAACCCAAAATTGTAATAATAGGTACGTATTTGATTGTATGCTTGATTGTAGTTATTACAAACTATGGTTGTAGAATATTGACTATTGTAATTTGTAGATAGACTGACACCAAAATATTGATACACCTGTATATTTAATAATTGTTAGAATGCTGAATGGTTATATTTATATAGTGCCGCATTTTATACTGTTCATTTTTTCGCAGGTGAAGTCTGTTATGATCCAGCTAGTATTATATAAATGTGAAAAAAACATTGACATTTACTACATAAACACCTAGTTGTATTAAAATTAAACGAATTATATTTTGTTAATTCATAAAATAGTAAGTAATCCTCAAGATTTCCAATATTTTGATTGAGTAGATTGTTGACTTTTATACAACCCTTTGTCACATTTATAAAAATACCTAATCAACTATCATATTATAAAATCTCCGAAATAATTTTCATGAGCTCTTATAATTTCAAAAATAACATGGATATGCACTTTAATCTTTAAGTATACTCTGTTCAAGAAGTCACTTCAAGACTCAAGTTAAGAAACGTAGTCGCCTACGTTTCAGGCAACACCCGTTTTTCCACCACCCAGTCAACTATCTGTATACCTGCCAGCTGCCGTGTACTATTGCCACGCACCTGCGCACAAGCCGGCCGCCAACTACGTTTCTTAACTTGAACAGAGTATAGGTTCTGCACTTTAGTACTAACATGATCTTTTCGGAATAATTTTTAAGTAATTACAATGGTTTTTGAATCATTACTTTTAAAATGTCAAATGTACACCGACATTAATCAACACTTATTTTTACACTTAGATGTAAATATAAGCGCGCGAGAGCAAAGTTATATTAAATACCTAAGTGTTCATTATCACATATTCACATCTATATTATGTTTCCTTAAATATTATCTAGTTTCATTTATTACCTAATACCTTCATGGGTTTTACCTTTTACGGTTTGTAGGTAGGTACCTAGGAACATTTTTATTTTATAATTTCTAATCAACCATTTTGCGTTTCATCACGTCTTAATAGTTATTAAAATACATCACTATAGTTGTGTAGGTACCTATAACCTATTGTAGTATTGTATTACATTGCGACAAAAATTATTTAGAATACATACATCCAATATCTATAACAGTGATTTATTGTCATTAATAACTTACCTATTTTTTTAATTAGCTGATTACTATAGATTAAAATATGATAACTAAATTACATTTATCACGTTTTGAGAATTTTTTTACTCTCTAGAATCTAGATGAATTAGTTTTCATATTAAACTATAAGATAATTTCGTTGATCCATATAATAAGAACTTAGAATCTAGTACCTTATCGTACTTACATATGTATTAGACTGATCAGTTATCACGCATGGTGAACAATTAATGAATAGTTAAATACCTAAGTACAGTTTATTAAGACTTTAATTTAAGTACTTTAAAGTGAACGAGGCACAATTTAATTAAATTGACGATAGACAACTAAATTTTAGTTTTGGTGGTGTTGAGTTTTAATGTTTATAAATCAAATTGTACAATATATTATTTTTGTACTTTTATATTTAGTACTTTTTTAAATTACTTAATATGTTGTGCATCTATACGTAAATTAGATTTATTCACATAATAATATTATATTACAGTTCGTCCGTCGTCGCCAACCGTTAAGACGATAGCACTAGCACGTATGACTATCATACGTAATTATGTTCCACTCGCTTATCGCGCGACTTCGGTCACGACGTCACGTGTTTCTCTAACCACTTTCTGTAGTTTTACTATCGTAAAATTTGAAATCTGGCTCTTCACCGTCGAACACTTCTTCCAAACGGCATCTTTCAAGTTCAAGTCTGTCTCCCCAAACAGAGCGGAAGAAAACCAAGCAATTTGTTTTTCTCCGAACAAGATTGCTATTCTGTCCCAAGATATAGATGAGTTTGTATCCCTTCCACTTCCACCTCATTCTATTAATCGGGACGAACTCTCAAACTCATCGACTATACCAGTCAAGCACGAACTTCAGACAAAACACTCTTTATCTCACTACCCTTTTATGTTAGTAGTGGTTACGATTATTCTACGCTCACAAAGCAGTGGCTTAATTAGTTAATTAGGAATTTGATTTGGGGGGGGGGGATATACGATTTTAGCAAACCTTACTGGTCATTACCAATAATTTGAATCAAAATGTTAGCAGTAAAAAAAAAGTTTTGGGGGGCATCTGTCCCGCTAATCCCCCCCTAATTACGCCCTTGTCACAAAACATTTATTAGAACTCATATACAGCCATCATGAATTTATTTTAAATCAACTTCAAATTACCTGGTTATCCGTACCGACAATGCCCCAAATTACAATTTAGTCATGGACTATTTATTAGCCTGCAACGATGAGATAACGTTCCACACTTATCAAGCAAAAAGGCATACAGTGTATATTAGACACCTTCAAGGCTTCACCCCTCCACCAGTACACAAGACATACAAACCAGTTTGATAAACGAAGGTCACGATGTAATTCGAGTCACTAATATTATAAATCGTTTCACCAAAGTGAACTTGCCACTATTTCGAGCTGATATAACTAACGCCGATAACAACAGATTGTTGATAATGCGACGTTCTAAAATTAAATTCGATTCTCCACACCAAAGTTTAAGTGGAACTCCCAAGGGAAAAGTCCACTCCGTCTCAATGTACAAATTGCCAAGCATATTTCCACATGACAAATTAATGTCGTTACCATCCACGCTGCGTCAAATGCGGTGAGAACCATGTTTCCAGCGATTGCACGAAATCACCGTCTGTACCCGCCAAGTGCGCTCTCTGCCCAGGTCCACATACTTCATCGTATAAGGGTTGCCCGCATTACAAAAAAATCATATCTAAACAGGAAACAGACAAGCAGAAATCGTCCTATCAAATTAACAGTCGTTCCACCTGCGACACAACGCAATGTCAACTCCAAGTCGAAACGGAATCTTACATACGCCAAGGTAACGGCTAGTGTTCCTTCATCTGATCAATCAACAGATTTCATTACAAAATGTCTCGAAGAACTTAAGTCTATCTTGAACCCATTACTAATCTCGTTAACAACAATCATAAATAAATTTTCCCTCCCCGTCTCTACCGTATCATAAAATAATATTTGTTATCCGACAATTCCATAGATTTCAATTCGTATTAAATCAATGTGAATTAACAGCTGCATATAAACGAATAAACGTGGTATATGTTTATTTAATATTACTTATTAATACTATGTTATACCTACCTTATCTCCCTATGAAGTACCTCTTATAAACTGTTAAATATTATGTTATCAAAATACTGTCATGTATATTATAAGATGTTATACTATTGTAAACTATATTACTATAACTGTTGAGATATAATAGTGTTATACTAAAAAGTAAAAGCTAATAAATAAAAAAAAAAAAAACATTATATTACATTGTTACCTATGAACTAAATACGTTGCGAAGTCCTCCTAGGATTTACTGCCTAATTTAGATTTGTGGGATACTGTGGGATATTGTGGATAAATTCCATCACCCTAACGTTATATTATAAATCTATTAGTGAATCTCCGTGGGACTGTCTGTATGTCTGCTTATACAAATTAAGGGTGTCGGCACCGATGCGGTCGGGACATTTGCGGTCTGCACCTTTTGCGTGCCATTTGCGGTCAATTTATTTCTGTCTACCTGTCTATAAGATTTGGGTGCTATATATAATATTTTATATACTATATACTTAATTTAAGTTAATAGGTATAATATTATAATACTTTTTTACTCTAATTGATATAATTATATACTTGTCAATCAAAATTCACTCTACTTACATAAAAATAATACCCTAATTTTTTTTAAAACCTTATTATAATTATTATAAAAAAATGATGTCATTATCGATAAGGTGATAACGTTTACGTATATTTTATTTTATTTTTAAAATGTTTAACATCGTCGGCATTAAAAGTTGTAGTAAACAATTTTACCAAATTTACACTATACATATAGATATTGGGTCTACGAACGAAGAAATAAATATAATACCTGTGATATATATATTACTTCCGAATAAAACAAAAATGATTTACGAACGTTTATTTTCGATGGTTAAAACACATATTCAAAATTTTAATCCTGAATCTTTTCCATTAGACTTTGAAATCTCGACTATTCAAGCTCATATTCCAGTTAGTCACATAGGTGAAGGTTGGGATATTACAATGAGTAACACACCCGATAATGATAAACTTATTTTATTGAACAGTGGTTGGAAAATCCAATTATTTCAAGGGGAATGTGGAACTGTCATAAAAGAAGACACAGAACCAATAATATTGTTGAGGGTTGGAATAGTAAACTTAATAAAATATTAAATACACCGAGACCAACGTTTATGAACTTATATAGGTAGCTGTCTTAAAAAATAGACTGAAAATGCGGAACTTTTATATGAAAGAAGCTTCTTGACTATCAGACTATGGAAGGCAAAAGGAGAAAAAAAATGTACATACAATTAGACGAATGAATTAGAAAAACATTAGTAGTCTATGAATTAGATAATGATTTAGAAAAATGCTTAAAAAAAGTGTGAAGGGAAGTTTAAATATAATATATTTGACAAGTATATAACTATATCGATTATAGTAAAAAAGTATTATAATATTAAACCTATTAACATAAATTAAGTATATATAGTATATAAAATATTATATAGCACCCAAATCTTATAGTCAGGTAGATAAAAATAAATTGACCGCAAATGGCACGCAAAAGGTGCCGACCGCAAATGTGCCGACCGCAAATGTCCCGGAACCCAAATTAAGTAAGTAGGTATACCTCATACTTATTAAGCATTTTTATAAATGTCATGAACGAATATAATTCATTGTTATTATGAGTTATTTCAGTTACTTTATGAATTAAATAATTGTATGACCTACGGGGCTACGCTACTCTTTAGTTAAGTATTTTATACTAGAAGTAAATACAAATATTGCAATGGTTCCTAACGTAGATAAACCAAAGTTTAAAAAAGGTAGGCAAGTGAGTACGGGCCAGACCGTTTTCCACCAAAAACGTACCCTTCTCTTTTCAGCCGATTCACTTTTCGACCAAAACAAAAAGTTATGTGATATAATATGTAAAATAAATAAAATAATTGGTATATATTTTTTGTAAAATAGAATACCTATATACAGGGTGTCCCGTGAGGATTTACTCATTGCGATATCTCCTGAAATAATGGAGATATCGTAATTATGTTTTTTTATTAAGACTCGCAGAGGTAAGCACTACAAATATTTTATTTTTTAATTAAATTAAATTTTTTAGTAAAAAAGTTAAAAAAATTATTTTTTATTTTTTATTTTTGAAAAAATTGAAGATAGCCATTCTATAGAGTATATTTTTGTGAACATTTTGAGCTTTTAACATTTTATTTTCATTAATCTCATGATTTTTAATAATTTTTTTAGTTTATTAGTAAAACTTCAATAAACTGGTTTTTGTCCGGGCGGCGAGTCCCCCTCTACGGCTAATGAGTAAATCCTCACGGGACACCCTGTATATATATATATATATTATATTTTGATTTACAACATTTTATGCAACTTACACATTAAATAATTTTTAAAATTATAATTGCCATAATTTTACAAAAATTATAATATACTTTAATACTTATCAGTTTTATTATTTTATATATTATACACATTACTATTGCACTTAATGATTATTGACAAACATTTTAGATTATTATAATATTATAAATATTTATTTATATATTTTACACATTTTATACAACTTATACTTTTAATAATTTTCTGTAAGTATAACCTTTAAACTCTAAAGTATATAATAGTAATTATTATTAATAATATTTGCCATTATATAAAAACAACTATACACCTATTAGTTTATGTCTTAATATTATATTATACACATTAATATTATACTTAATAATTATTGACAAAAATTGTATATTATTACTTATGTTATATTCTTTATAAAATATTATACACATTTTGACATATTAACATAGCATAAAAATAATGTTAATAGGTATATAGGTATTCTTATGTTTTAAATATTAAATCTTATACTTTTAACAATTTTAAAAATTATAATTGCCATAATTTTACAAAAATGATATGCCAATTATTTTATTTATTTTACATATCATATTACATAACTTTTTGTTTTGGTCGAAAAGGGAATCGACGTTTTTTAAATTTGGTCAAAAAGTGAATCGACCGAAAAGGGAAGCGTATGTTTTTGGTCGAAAACAGCCATTCCAGGGTACCGATATGTTAGGTGCAATAGGTGTGAAGTGTCACTGTAATGAATGTCTTGAATTTGAATATAATGTTATAAAATCATTATATTATACAAAAAACAAGTATGATTGAAATTAAAATTTAAACTTAAAAGCCGTAAATTTTGATCTAGCAAAAAAATTTTTATCGATATATTAATAGAAAAATATTTTTTTAAAAATTTCAACTGTCTGCACATAGTTCAAAAAAAGTCAAAATATATTTAAAATTATAATGATATCATATGTATAGAAAAAGTTAACATAAATATTTTGTGAAAATGTCAAGTCTATGAATTACAATATCAGAAAATAGTTCAGAGAAATCGTTAGTTTACTGATGAATATTCAATGTTGAAAAAATTTGAACTTCAAACGCTCATAAAAAATTTATTTGACTTTTCAGTAAACATTTTGTTTGTTAAATGAAGGAAAACTTATGAGGAATCTTGTATTATATTTTCAAATCTTAGATATAAATAGACATTTTATTATTAATTTATAACTCAACATAATTTGAAAATTTTTGTGATTTTTTTCCAAATTCTAACTTGAGGCAGTCATAAAAAATTATTGTGGATTTACGCTCAATTTGTTTTTAACTTTTCATTGACAACAATGCATGAGAAACCTTGTATTCAACTTTCAAGTTTTTAACTAAGCAAATATTTTTTATCAAAAATAATTTAAAAAACCTAATTAAAATTTTAATTTTCTTATTCGTATAAATTGCTCAAAAATAGTCAAATTATTATTTATATTGGAAATCAGTGGCGAAATTATCGAGAGTGTTGGGTGTGCAATTCACAGGGGCCCCCGGTTTTTGGGGGCCCCGAGGTCTTATATACCATATTCCTACTATAATGTGTATTATACAAAATAATATAATAATAATTAAATATTAATAAATATATTATAAAATAGAAACCCCTTTTTTGTATGTACGAGCATATCTCGAAAAGAACTCTACTTATTTGAATACGGTTTTCACTAATAAATCGCTCGAGTCACGGGGAAGGTTTTAAAGCATAATAATTTTCCTTGGTAAAATTAATTGGGTGGCCGAAAATAATAACAATCTATTATAAACATAATATAAATATAAAAATAAATGTTTATCTGTATGTCATTGCGATCTCCTCCTAAACCACTGGACATATTTTTATATTTTTGTGTGTTTTTGAGAGAGTCTCTGAATGGTTTAGATTCACAATGAGACCCATATGGTTCAACCCGGAGAGGTGCACAAACCGGTATTTTGAGATTTACAATAGACATTTTTGTTTAAAAATGGATACTATTGGTTATACGAAAAATAATAATGAGTAAAAATTAGTATTTTAAATGTTTGCCATTCGTTACTCTGGCAGATGAGGTAAAAGGATCCATCAAAGCGTCGCACGATTATATATGGTTTCGAATAAAAAAATTATATCTTAAAACAAATATGAGAGTTGAATGTATATTTGTAAATATTATATAAGTTCTTAAAAACTAGTAACTACTTAACCGATTTTGTGAAAATTTCAAATTGTTCTTGGAGATATCACTATAACAGGAAAGTTTAAAGAGTAGTTTGAACCACGTTCGATTTATACCAAGTGCTATACCCAATCCACCACAAATAGATTGTCCATCTTGGTTGATTAAGTTCGCAAAGCTACCCAAATTTATCTGTGAACTGAGGTACCTACGTAGGTACACCAAAACCAAGATATACTTATTTAATCTAAATTTTGTATTTTTTCATTTTTTGTCGGGCGAAACCGGGTTATAGGTAGGTACAACTAAAATTGGATGTTTGTTTTAT